TGTATGGGCGTGGCTGGAGAGTGAACCTACTGTATCGATCTTTATACTGCAACAAAGCCATTGAACCGTATTCGTATATGGCTGTTCAGGGGCACATAAAGTTAATTTATGAGGACCTGCAAAAGTGTTTTTCTAGCAGATCTAGAGATCTACTGCAGAGACGGTCAAACTCCACTCCTAATGCTCCTAGGTGCTTCTGCAAGAGCAAATGAGAGAGGTTTGCAAATCTATATTCGTCCTGTTTCCTCTTTGACCCAAAAGAGATAGGTATAGTGTCACAGGTATAGTGTCGAACGATACCTGTCTCTCTTTCTCTCTAGAACCATAACCATAACCTTCCGGTTATGCTCAGTTACGAGGAAGAGAGACAGGTATCGCTCGTTTCTATATATCTCTCTGTTGCATACACTGTAGAAGTCAAGGTTCGGCCGGCTCTGACCTACTGTATCTTTATCCTGTGTCAAAGATACCTCTAGAATTGTGTTCAGATGATGCATGTGTTTGGGAGGTGTTTGACCTCGTACATGAGAACAGGATTGCTTAAAAAGGAGCGGTCTCTACTGAAAGGAAGTGCCGATTAGTAGAAAAGGGATACATAAAGGAATAAGGGGTATAGACGTATATTATAGACATTGACAACAGTCGAATTTGAGAAAGTATCAGAGGTGGTTCAGTTGAGAGTCAGAGTCCGATCTTTGAATAAAAGTAGTGAAAGTGTTTGTATTAAGAGTAACAGTCTGACTACGTTAGTAAGTCACAACATATTTGTTTCTTTATAATGTTTATAGTCAAAAAAGTAATAAAAGTTTTACACGAAGTAAATTGCTTTATTGCTTCGACATCAGATGTACGCATCTAATTATAAAAATCACAAATTTGCTGATATAAAATGAATAATGCGTAATACAACAACAAACAGTACTGCTTCATGATATCCAGACAATCATACGAATTCTTTGAAGGTATCGATTATTGATCTTGAAAAATCTCGTGGGAAATATCGATACGATACTATATCGATAACGAAACCAAAAATATCGTGTCCTTTTGAGATTATGGAAGAATATAAAATTATACAATAGAATTATTTTTATTTTTTGATGTTAGAGCAAACAAATTCAATTGTCAAAACCAATAACTCGATATTCTTACAGTTCTGGTCAATATGAGATGCAATTATATCGATAAAATGTCGTCACATCGTGAATCTGTACCAAATAGCTTTTGAGATCCCTTTTTGCATCTCCTACTTAATTATTTAGGTTGGAGTTATGTACAAGCAAACGTCAGAATGCATGCATAAGGACTTACATTCAAAGAAAGAATATTTGCCAATCCACCCATTAATCTAGATGCGCACAACATTTCTACACCATTAGCGAAGTACATTAAAACCCACGATATCAAATCACAACTGCCTGCTGCTATTATAATGGTTTTTCTCCCAAAAACATCTATTACCCATATGGTAAGGATGGTAGCCAGTGTACCACCTACGTTATATATGCTTACAACAGTTGATGATTGAATCTGCAGATAAATTAAAAATGAAATTGACAATTATAATATTATAACATTTTACAAGTTTGATAGAATTTATTTAATAGTTGGTAAGGTTGGGCCAGTTGTTAGCAAACAGCCCCCCCCTCCCATTGGGAATATGACACGATGTGTATGGTGTCGTAAGACACCCGATAGGAACGATTTTTCTTATTATTTATTTAAAACTGCAAACTAGCACCCATTTACCTACTCTGTTGGTAGGTTAATTAGTGATCGTTTAAATAGAGGAGGCAATAATAGTCAGGGGTCGAGAGTCGAATTCAAGGTCACGAAAAAGGGTGGTGAGGCGGCTTGCCGTCTTCACTGACCATGTGGTGTATCCCTGCCATTTTCTACGTACTCCAATTATATGCTACGGTAGGCTAGTGTTGTTATTATATTATTAAATTATTTATTAATTATAGTTGAATTACTTTTGGAGTAAATAAATTGTTTTTATCCGTTAGCTAACATGTAATTGTTACATAAATTTTGTTGACTGAGTTATTCTCAATTATATAAACTCCCTTATAATATTAGATCAAAGTAATTATCATCATCATCATACGGTCATCAATCCTAAGACTGGTTGGACACGTACCTCCACTCTTTCCTATCCTGAGCTAAACTTCGCATTTCCCTAAAACTAGAACAACCCACATCCTTAACTATTTGCGAACAGTAAT